AGAGAGAGAGAGAGAGTCACGTACGGATGTGTTATATCTTGAGATAAAAATCAACATCGACAATTTACAAATTTTAACAGATGTCAACTTCCGTTTAGAGGTTTGTCACTGTTAGCTGCTCCTTCAAATTTTTCATTGTCTCGATTTCAAAGCTAATCGCGCAACCGCCACATAACGGATGCACGTGACGAACGTGCGTGTGATTTTCATGTATGGAGTCTAACGGGACAAGTCAGAAAGCATATGGCTTCCAACGTCTCTTGTCTTGTCTTTTCCTCGTCATCGAGCGAGGGAGTGGATCGTGAGTACACACACGTGTGCATATCGGTTTAAGGAAAATATTTTTCGAAGCGTCATAGAATCGTTGAATTTTCCTCCGCGTTGGAAGGGTGAACGCGCTTCATAAATATTTCTTCAACTTAAATCCCATCCCTAATAGCGCCTTAAGGAGCGTGCGAAACTATTGTAGAAGCAGTCGTACTTCTAACGTTTAGTTTTCGTTAAATTCGGAAATGTCGGAATAAAATTAAAATTCATCCGCAGAAACAAAGTTTAGTTTAAAGTTTTGCTTTGTAAAAATGGAAATATATCCTTGTTAGAATTACGAAATTTAATTTTTAATTATAGATTCAGAGGATAAAATCGATTTAGAAACAACCTCTATGTATGATTAATGCGTGTACTCTTTCTAAACTTTATTTCACGGTAAAGTAATCTTCGTTAAGGTGGCGAGGTAATCTCGCAATCAAATATGAATGATATCTAGTTATTTTCGACGGCAAAAAATTGAGGGCGCAGCTCTTGGTCGGTTTCCCAATCTCCCGCAGACGCGAAAGGATCGGCAGTGATGCAGGTTTCGATGTATGAGGCCAAGGCTGAGCCGTGTGTGAGCGGGATAGGGACTGTTTGTGTGCGGAAATGTGATGGGCGTTTACGTAATGCGGACGGGAAGAGCAAGCGACGCGAGAGCTTCGCTTCACGGGATCGATTCCGTGAGCCGTTAAATTTTTTATAAAACCAGCCAAAGTCGTAAATGGCCAAATGGAACTCACGACTCGCGAGAAATTTGGCAAGCAAAATCCACATCGGAATTTTTACAAGTCTTATCAAAGTCTTGTCTGAAAATGAGAATCTTTCGTATCGAACATTTTGCTTCGAATAAAATTACAAAAAGATTGATAGATATAAAAAGTAACCTGGAAGTCAAATTAGACTGACGTAACGAGAGGGGATTAAAATAGAAAGAAGCTTAATGGAAATAGAATCAAAATGACATTAAGACTCTACATCCCGATTAAAAGAAAAAAAAAGGGAGCTCCAAGATATCGCGTTGCGAGCGAACGCGTTGCGTAACAAATGTCTCGGATGTCGAGACAGGGAGAGATGCTATAACACTAATTTCAATTACGACGTCTTTTCCGTCATCGCGTTATTCCCGTCAATTGACGCGAATTAGGGAAAAGCCACATCAAAGACGACGTAGCGCATCTGCCATTAAGGCGGCCAAAGACCCCATGCTTCTCTCGCTGCAAGTGCATGTGCTTCGCGTCGATGCATTCTGTTCCCGGATGCATCCGCGAGTGCAGTCAAGGCGCGTCCGAGGATGCCTATGATGCCTTTCGATAATATTGAATATCCATTGAATTTCCATGCGATCATTTTTAATTTGCGTGAAATGTCCCAATACAAAATGTCCCAATTTTTATCATATTTATACGCAATTTCCGATATATAAAATGTTCTTAATAAGATAGTAAGATTTTAATTAATATTTTAAGATCGAATATAATATTTCAAGATGTTAAATATTTCTTTTCAAATTTTTTATTCAAATTCCGCATTAGAAATAAATTATACATAATAAACGGATCGATGATTTACTCGACGATTTGTGCAAACTTTGGAAATGTCTTTTTACTTGTATATATTTTAATTATTTGTATGTTGACTATTCGTCGAATTTGCATACACGCGGATAAATCGTAGCACGATACAATCTCGTAGATATAATCGCATTACGTAGCAGTAATCGTTTACCATGTAAGAAAAGAAACATGCGCCGAGGCACACTATCTTTTACCACCATTCATTGTTAACGGGCATCGATTGCTATTGTTTTCGAAGGCCTTAATAATGCACCCACACCAACACGGCGGAAGTTGCAGAACTTTTCCTCGGCCACTCGAAACTTTGGAATCGCGAACGGCGGAATCGCCTTGTGTCTAAATAATTCCTACCGCCTTATCACAGAAATGTTGGAAAGTGTACTCGTGTACGCTAGCGAATTATGTCGAGAAAATGAACAACTAGCATGACTGCGAGCAAATATAATTGATAACAACGGAGCCGAAAATTTACATATACATATTATTCGTACTTATAGAACGGTATTTCGAGATCAATATAATAAACGTTATAATTAGATAATGTCTCACTTGGGATATGTAAGAATCAACAAAAAGTTCATTGTCGCTCCTTTCTCGATGTTTTGTAAATGTAGACAATTTCTATTTTACATTATTTTGAAAAGTTATGTTACAATTTATTTTCTTATTCTGGACAGATATTTTCTGAAGCTATTAATGTTTTGACTAAAATATCGCCTATGCAAAGCCGCGCGTCGCGGTTTGCACATGCGGCACGCATGTGTCTGCCGTATGGAGATACACCGACGCGAGTACTCATAAACGCGTGCGAACGGCCCCTCGTGCAAAGTCACACTTCGCGGGGAACGGAGCATCGTTGTTTTATTGCGCGAAAGGAAATAACCAAGAATCCATGAGCCACGCGCTCCTTTGTTCTACAACTTTCTAGCCGAAGGTTCTCGCGTTCATTGACGTGGATCATGTTTGGGTTTCACACCCAGGATGACCTTTGCCCTTTGCGATTACTCGGAAAATGTTAAATTTATCTTTAGTCATGCATAAGCCTGTTTAGTCAATATATAAAAAAAATATAATTATTAATTTCAGTTTTGCGATTCAAAATGATAAAACTTCGATTTATGAAACATTCATTTTCCATTCGAGAAGGTTACCTTAATGCGAAATTGAAAAAGAAAAAACTTGCTATTACGTGGCTTTAAGACGCTTTATATTACATGACTATCGGTCCCTCGATGTTTACGACACTGCACGTGGCATAGTTCGTATCGTAGATACACGTGGGCACGAAGAGCGCCCACACGTCGCGGATTCTCGCTCGGCCTTCGACTCTCTCGAATCCCACCGCGGATATCAACGTTTCACGCAACTGCCTCTTTCTTTCTCCACCCAGCACCTAAACGATCTAACGCAATCGACGCCGCGACTTTATGGAATCGGCGATCGGCGGCCGAGAGGAATAACGCTGCCGAAAAACTTTCAAAGAGAAAGCAGAGTTTACATTAGACTTGAAAATTATTTTTTATAAAAAATAGATAATTATTCTCTCTGATTCTTATAACTATTTTCTCTTAATTAATAAAAATTGTCAGCAGAAAATGTTTATTCATTTTGTGTCAATTTTTTAATTTAATCGAAATTTCATGAGCTTTTAAAACTCAATCTTAAAACAATTCACTTTCAAGCTGTCATGAGGATTAAAACCATCCCTTTTGAGGTGGAGTTGCGTCCCTTATTATATGCCAAGATCTTTCATCCGAAATAGGATGCTAAAGTAGGTCAGATACAAGGACTACGCAAGAGTAGCTAACAAAGAGTCAACTTCTGGACAGTCCTCGATGACACAATATACGCTCTTCATATTTCATGATCAAAAGGTTATAGAAAATTATTGTGAAAATACTAAAAAAAAAAATTACCTTTATTCTGGCTATTATTAAGGCTATAAGTACATACGTATGCACTATACAAAATCTTACAAAAAAGATTT